CACCCGGACGTCCCTCAGGTGTGACGGACACACCTGCGGCCATGGCCCTGCAGGGGGGCACGGGGGGGCGGTCACAGAGTTTGTCTGTTGCTGGGGCAGCTTTTCGGGTAAAGGCACAGAACAGTCGGTACGTGCTCCGGGTGCCGGTTTGTGCCGGGCTGCTCGGTCACCTCGTTGCACTGGGTGTTCATTTCGTGTATGGACAGAAGAACCTGTGTTAGCACAGGTAGCCAAGGGTCAGGAATTCCCTTTGGGAATCTCCTCTTAAGGATCCTGCCAAAAACCCTTTGCAAACCGAAGAACCTGTAGTAACTGAGTCTGCAGCAACTTTGCTTTGAGCAAAAGGTCTGTGAGTTGTGCAGCCTGTGGGCCTGGACCCTTCCCAGGCACAGATGTGAGGGTATAACTGACCAGTCCATACGGTTTTTTTCCCTTTACTGCATCTGGAAAGAGCTGTTTGCTTTTACCTTCTCAAAGAGAAATGCAACACGTTTCTCCTCCAGTCCCACTGAGGTTCTGTGTGAAGAACTGGAGATGAGTGTGAGATCATGAGGGTTTCCATCTATTGGCTCATAACCAGCAGATGTTAAATACCTAAAGCAGAGGAGCAGGCCAGAGTGTTAATGGAGAAGAACATTTGCCTGATTCAAATTCTCTGCCCTCATGGTGAGGACAGGGGCATGTTCTGCTTCCTTTGGAAAAAGAGCTTGAGAGCTGCATCATCCAGCCTTTGACCCTGTCATCTAGTGAGACAACACAGCCCTGACCTGGCTACTGCAGAGATAATATGGGGAGCTTTAGTAGGTGTGTTATCCTGCCTCTTTGTCTCTGCTCTTTTATGTCACCAAATATTAAAACTAATAATGAACCAGTGAAACTAGGGTGAGCAATGCCAGCCCACGTGTGTTGCTCAGGGACTGGGCTCTCCAGTGGAGCCTGTCCCAGCTGTTCAACTCTTTTAGGAAAAGGTCAGGAAATAAATTTCCCAAGTATAATCTCTTGGGATAAAACTGAAAATTATTTGAAAAATGCAACCAATAAATCTTCTGTTATGAAGACAAAAGTCCTTACATGGCCCTTTAATCTGTGGCACTCAAGCTTTCACTTCAGAATCTGTTTTTTTGAGCCCTCCTGCCTGCAAAGAAATTGCTCAGCCTTTTTCTTGCTCAGAAATGGGCCTTTCTTGCTTGTTTGGGCTGCTCCTGGGAGCTGCAAGGGGCTGACCTGGAAATGAGTAGTGTTGGTGCCTCCACCATTTCATGGCTTGGAAAGGTCCAGCATCACCTCCTGCCCAGAAGCTGCTCAGTGAGGATGACCCTTCACTGCCACTTGCAGGCTGGAGGTGGGGAATGTGCTTTTTTCCCCTCCTAGCTCCTTTTCCCTGCTGCTGTGTGTCAGTCAGGCTGCAGTGGGAGCACCCAGGGCTCTCCTTGGCTCTGCCTGGTCCCTTAGATCGTGCAAATGCACTGAGGGTAAATCTTGTCTCAACAAGGAACAGCAGATGTGGGTCCTGGTCTGTGAATGCTAAAACTTCAATAAGGGGCTTCCTGGCTCTTGGGCATCTTCCATGGCACCAGCTGGCTTTTTGGCTGGAGCTGGTTTGGTAGGTCTTCTCTTCCTAATCTCTCTGGGCACATTTTGAGGTCTGGTATCAATGGAGGAGGAAAAGCTGGGACGTGGGAGAGATAAATGAAGTCGTAGGGGTGAAAGTTTAACTAAACACAGTCCAATGATGGAGTTAGGGGTTCTCTTCAGCAAAGAGGACTTGAGCATGAGCCAGCCCTCCTGAGCCTTTTGGCTTGAGTGACCAAATTGACCAAGTCTCTGCTTGGTGCCTTTAGTGTTACAGCTCCATGTGACGCCTGCTGAAGCTCCTGCTGGTGTCTGGAGAAGTGCCCTGTGCTGCAGCAAACAAGCATTCACGTTTAGGTGCACACTCTCTAGTGCCCTTTTTACCTTGTACTTCACCCATCACTAACTGAGGTGTCCCATGTTTCTGTTTTCCAGTGGTTCACTGCAGATGTTCCAGGTGTTTTTCTTTCCCTTCCAAGCGAAGGGTAAGGAAACGGCCCCGAGTCCTGACGCTGCTGAGCCTGCCCGAGGACGTTCTGTTCCACGTCCTGAGGGGCCTTCCTGGAGCTGTGAGTCTGCTGCTGCTTCCCCCTGCCACACACGGGGGCTTCTCTCTGCCTTCAGGAACCAGGGCTGCTCGGGGAAAGTCTCGTGGCAGGGAAACCTGCAGGAAACCACAGTGCCCAGGCAGTCGTTGGGCTTTTGCTGTCTCAGCAGCAGTTTCATTTTGCAGCCCTTCAAGAGATGAGCAGCAGAATTTGAGTGTTCTGTGGAAGATTTCTGTGGGAATTATCCTGCCAGATCACTGGGGCTGAACAAGTTAGTTTGGTTTGGCATCTCCTGCCTCACTGTTAGGCAGGAAAAGAGTTAGGGTTAACTTGTGATTAGTTATCTATCTTAAATCAGATTGCAAAAAAGCTATTTTGTTCTTGGTCCCTTTATTTTTGTCACTATTATTTTTCACTCCTCCCTTGCAGGTGCACTCACACCTTAAATACCTTGTGGATAACCATGCTAGTGTTTGGGCATGTGCAAGTTTCCAAGAAATATGGCCTTCTCCAAGCAATCTGAAGATGTTTGAAAGGTAAGCTTGGAGAATCAAATTTGTCTGACATTGTAGAGCAGGATGTTTGAAGCTAGATATCTAATTTTAACCAGTCTTCACAGTAAGTGGGGGTTTTGTAGAAGTCCTTGCTTAGGCTGATGAAGAATTGCTGATTTCGTGTCTTAAGCTGCAGCTTCTAACTGCTGTTTTTTAACCTGAGCCCATGGCCTGTGGGTTCTCCTTAAGGGCATTAGTGTTCCATACTGGAATGTAGCACATGAACTAAAATCTGGTACTGGGGCACCTGTATGAGTGTGCAAGTGAAATCAGAGGCTCAGGAGCATAACACACTTTTTGAGCTGGTTTGGTCATTTCTTGTGTGAACCAGTATATTTAACAAGAGTTTCATTTCAATATTAAAACAAGTGAAGTTTGAATGGGTGAATCAGCTTGAAAAGGGAGGAGAGCATCTTTTTATCTACCTGATTTGAAGGTGATGGGTCAGTTTAAATGTCACACTGGTTGTTTTCTTTCTGACTGTTGCCTCTGCTGTGATGCACCTGTCACGTGCTTGCTGAAGAAGACTATGATGTGCATGTTGGTTTGAGAGGGAGGAGCACAAGGGCTTTGTGCACGTCCTGGAGGGCACAAGTACCAAAGCATGTTCGTGCTTCTTGGTGTTGGGATGTTGTGTGGGAGTGGGAACAGTTGCTGTGAATTGTCACATTGCCCTGGACATGGGCAGTGAAAGGGCTGCAGCACAAAAAGCTACAGCACAACTTGTTTTTGGCTTGTGCTTATGGTTCTCCAAGTTCAAGTGTGACCAAACTCATAGCCTGGCCTCCACTGAAGTGACTCGTTGGGCTTGGAAGCTCCTCCTGATTTCAGCCTCAAGTATCTTCTCTGTTTCCCATGCAGGGCTGCTGAGAGGGGTAACTTTGAAGCTGCTGTGAAGCTGGGAATAGCATACCTGTACAATGAAGGCTGTAAGTGGGGAAGCTTGGGGTCTTTGAGGGGGATGACAGATGGAAATGCCGGGGTCTTTGAGGGGGATGACAGATGGAAATGTAGATGAGCTAAAGGCTTATTTATCAATACAGGTCAGGCTAATTGTCTCATCATCAAGTTGCCAGTTTTACTGGCTACCTACAAAGCTGTTTCTCCCGTGTCTTGAACACTGGTGCTTTTGTGCCCAGGTTCCAGTGCAGGGAAGTGCAGAACCAGTTTGCTCTGCTCAGCAGGTGTTTTGGTCTGACTTGCTGTCATGCCTCTTCAACTGTACCTTTTGGTGCAGCTGAGGCACTGGCCACTGAACTGCCAGAGGTTCAGTGACAGCTTGTGCACAGCTCTTTTCAAAGCAGAAAATTAGTTGGTGGGTAGCTTGTGAATTCCTTTGTGGAACTTACCCTTTGTAAACTTCTGGCCAAATTGGGCTACTCACCTAGTCTGTTACACGTACCAAAAAGGATGCTGACTGACTGAAGGGGCTTCCTTGCAGAGAGCAGTGGCAAGGCAGGTGACTTGTATGCCAGTTTGGCTCTGCACTGACAGATTTAACCTTGCTCTGAGTGCTGCAGAATGTCCCTTCCCCACTGCTTGTGTGGGGGCATCTGCCTGTGAGGAAAGGCTGGGAGAGCTGGGGCTGCTCAGCTGGAGAGGAGGAGCCTGAGGGGGGATCTGATCAGTGCTGGTCAATATCTCCAGGGGGTGGCAGGAGGGGGGACCAGACTCTTCCCAGGGTGCCCAGTGACAGGACAAGGGGCAATGGGCACAGGCTGGAGCACAGGAGGGTCAAGCTGAGGAACAACTTCTTTCCTGTGAGGGTGGCAGAGCCCTGGGACAGGCTGCCCAGAGTGGCTGTGGAGGCTCCTTCTCTGGACATTCCAAACCCAGCTTTATGTGTTCCTGTGGGATCTGCTGCAGGTGACCCTGCTCTGGCAGGGGTTGGGCTGGGGGATCTCCAGAGGTCCCTTCTAACCCTGACCACTCTAACTCTCTGATATGTTCCTGAAGAGGGATTGTAGTTAGATTTATCTTCTGCCATCTCCGTGATCCTTAAGGCCCTAAAGACAAGACTCTCTTCAGTCTTTTCTTGATGGTCTCCTATGATCTGTCCTGGCCTGACTAAATGCCCAGCACCTATTTTGAAGAAACTCTGAAAACCATTTCTGGCTTTTCTGCTTCCTTTCCAGTGTCCATCTCAGAGGAGGGGCGTGCAGAAGTGAATGGGCTGAAGGCCTCACATTTCTTCAGCCTGGCAGAGCGGCTGAACGCGGGGGCTGCCCCCTTCATCTGGCTCTTCATCCGGCCTCCCTGGTCCTTGAGTGGCAGCTGCTGCAAAGCTGTGGTCTATGAGAGTCTCAAAGCAGAGTGTCAGCTGGAGAAAGTAAGATTTCTTTCTGCCCTTGCCTTGACCAGAGGTTAGCAGCTGCAGCTGGTTCTTCCAGAAAAGGTGGTTTTGTTTCCCCAGGGAAACAAACCAGGGAGTTTTTGTGCCCTCGTTGCTTCAGTGACTGTGGATCAATCATTTAAATGAATTTATGGCCAAACTGCACTTGGGATATTGTGAGTGCCTGAGGTCTGTGCTGTCTCTTCTGAGAGATTCAGCACTGTCTCAAGATAACAAAACTTTGAGAGAAGCAAGGAATGGCTGAAAGGCAAATAAAATTGTAGTCTGGAATTACTAGCAAAAATTGCTATTGTTCTTTGTTTATCTTTAACAGTGCTTTATCTTTATGCTTTCTTAAGGCTCAAAAAGGATCTATTCTCCACTGCTTGGCTAAGGTCTTGAGTCTCTTTGAGGTGAGCAGTATTTCTGATTTGATGGTATCTTTTTTGGTGATGCTAATGCTGTTTAAAAGAAAAAAAAAAATCAGCTATTATATTCCTCGAGGGGCCTAGGAATTTCTGCTCTTTTATACTGGCAGAGAGGAGATTTAGGTTGGACATGAGGAGGGAATTCTTTGCTGTGAGGGTGGTGAGAGCCTGGCCCAGGTTGCCCAGGGAAGCTGTGGCTGCCCCATCCCTGGCAGTGTTGAAGGGCAGGTTGGATGGGGCTTGGAGCAACCTGGGCTGGTGGGAGGTGTCCCTGCCCATGCAGGGGAGTGGGACTGGGTGATCTTCCAACCCAAACCATTCTTGGATGCTGGGATTCTATTATTTAATGTACTGGTTGTTCAAAGGACTGTTACCAACTTAGTTTATTGAATTTCACAAGCAGTGACATGGATTTGAGCTTGATCATGGGCTTGGTGCTGCCAGGTCTCAAAGGAAGCCTTCCAGCCACCCTGCTTATCAAAAAAGGGAGGGGGGGGAAATAAGTCCTTCAGTGGCAATTAAGCCAAAAAGCTTTTGTCCAGCTGAAGGCAACCACCAACTGCTCCCTGAGCCTGAATCTCCAAATGACAGCACTGGGTGGATGGGGGAAGCCCCTGGAAGTCTGAAGGGGACTTGTGACTAGTTGGTTCTGCCCTGTGCTGCCAGTACAGACTGGTCTGTAGCTTCTGAAGGTTTGAGATCTGGTGCCCAGTTGGCTGGACAGCATAAATGCCATCCTACCTCTTGTTCTTAGGATGAAGAAAGAAGAAAAGAATCCCTTGAAATGTTTGAAGAGTCTTCAAAGCAGGGTTGTTTAAACAGCTCCTACCTCCTGTGGGAAAGTAACAGAAAAGCTGCTGTAAGTAGCATTTTTTTTGGTCTCAACACAACTTTTTTTTCAGTGGAACTTCTGGACCTCTGTTTAGTGCAGTGAACATAAATAGAAAGAAGTGGCTGTCCCTCAGAGCTTACCCTCTTCATCAACAAGGAGTGCACTAAGGACTCTCTCAAATGAGCTTTGGTGTCTGCCTTGGTGTTTGAAGTGAGTCCAGAGGCAGCTGTAGCTGAGGTGCAAGCAGAGGTCCCTTTATACTGACTCCCAAAGTCATAGGCACTGCTGGCTGGTGATCACAGGGCTCCCTGGGGAACAGGAAGGTGAAACTGCCTGCACTGCCATCCATAAATCTGCCAGAGCTGGTATGTTGGGATCCTGAGGGACCCCTCATGTCTTGTGAGGCCTTCGGCAAGAACTGAAAAGAGTCTTAAAAGCGACGTCGTTATGAGCAGCAACAGACTGGCTACTGGAATTAAGATTGATGCTTTGGCAGTGGGGTATTTTTGTGCATATTAGTACTGCAGTCCTGCTGTTTGATGTGTCAAGATAATGGGTTTTGAGATCTGTTGATGTTCCTCTCTGTAGATGTCAGATCCTGGCAGATACCTCCAAAGTCTCAGGAAGCTACGGGACTTTGCAGCAAAGGGCTGCTGGGAAGCACAGGTAAGACTGACTTTTCCCAGGAAAACAGTCTCTATTTGGTCTTTTTTATGCTGCCATTGTAGGTTCAGATGATACTTCTCCCTTTAGAAGGGTCAAAATTCCTGAGTAATATCTATCTATCCATGGATGGACTTAGTCTGCAGTTCCCTCTTGGAAAATACTGCACGTCTGTGGTGCCATTTGAGTAAAGATGAATCTTCTGATGGATTTAAAAGCCTGTCCCCAAAGAATGTGTGTTCAACATTTAAGGCAAACTAAGAACTTCAAA